GCGGAGTCCGGCTGACGCGGCCATCAGCAGTCAGACAAAAACACAAAAAGAATAAAAACACCCAAACACAAATACACACACTCCCCTGCTGCTGCTGCTGTTGCTGCTGCTGCTGCTGCTGCTGCTGCTGCTGTTGCTGGTTATTAGGGAGTGAACAGCTGCATGCGTCTCCTTATGTTGAGATCCAAAGCCCTCCACTCATCTCTATCGGGCGTACAAAAAACAATCTTCATTCTCTGCTGCTGCTGCTGCTGCTGTTGCTGCTGCTGCTTCTGCAGCTGCTGCTGCCTGTGCTGCTGTAGCTGCCAGCGGTGTGCTGCAGCAGCAGCACAGTAAGCAGCAGCATGCAGCGGGTACGCCCCAGCTGCTGTACCCAGCAGCGGCACTGCAAGGGTCTTAAGCCCGAGAGCAGCAGCAGCAGCAAAAGCTTTTAAGTAACAGTCTTCAAGCAGATAAAGAGAAGGGGAATGGAGTTGACGCTGCTGCTGCTGCTGCTGGTGTTGCTGCTGCAGCTGCTCCTGCAGCTGTTGCGGTGGCAGGTGCTGTTCTTGCTGCTGTTCCTGCTGTTGCTGCTGCTTCGCTTCCTCTACATCGCAGTCTATCAGCAGCAGCAGCTGCTGAAGCAGCTGCTGCTGCGTCAGCACAGCAACAGGCTCCACACACTGCAGCAGGAAGAGAGGAGCAGCAGCAAACCCAGGGGTTAATACTAAAGACCCTCGCTTCAGCAGCAACTGCGGTGGTAAGGGACGCCGTGGTGCTGCTGTTTCTGCTGCTGTCGCTGCTGCTGCTAATGCTGCTTCTGCTGCAGAGGCTGCCGCTGCTGCTACCAGCGGAGAACACTCGCAGCAAGCCCCCTTCAGTGCAGCTGCTGCCCTTCGCGCTGCTGCTGCTGCACCTCCTCCTCCTGGTGCTGCTTCTGCTGCTGCTGCTGCAGATGGTGAGAGCGGCCACTGCTGCTGCAGCTGTGGGGTCAGCAGCGCTGCATGCATTTGTTGCGCAGCAGCAAGAAAGGAGTTTACAGCATCTGCCGGGCCTTCCTGTTGCTGCTGCTGCTGCTGCTTCTGCAGCAGCAGCTGCTGCTGCTGCTGCAGGAATAGGTGAAGCCAGGGACCTGCAGCAGCAAACAGCTGCGATGCCCCTCGAAAGCCGCTGCCTTCCGCGTGTATTTGCAGCGAACGCCCAATGCCAGCCACCGCCCCACAGCAACGCAGCTTAGAGATGTCTGCAGCAGCAGCAGCAGCACAGCAGCAGCAGCAAATGACAGCAGCAGCAGCAGCAAATGACAGCAGCAGCAGAACGGAACAAACACCGTCAAAGAAAATCAACAAAAAAAGCAGCAACAAGAGCACCAGCACCACAGCAGCAACACGAGCAGCAACACCAACTGCAGCAGCAGCAGCAGCAGCAGCAACACCAACTGCAGCAGCACCAGCAGCAACAGCAGCAGCAAACTGTTTACCTCCTAGGTGTAAAGCCACGTGATCCCACACCCCCGCAGCAGCGGAATCAGCAGCATGATCCCGTTGTTGTGGTCCCTGCTGCTGCTGTTGCTGCTGCTGCTGCTGTTGCTGCTGCTGCTGCTGTTGCTGCGGCAGCAGGTGAGGAGGCAGCTCGGGGTCTGCTACTGCCCAAGCCGACGGAACGCGAATGCCCTCCATTTCTAGAGGAGGTTCACGGGGGAAAGGGACCTGAACCCCACAAACCCTAAACCCTAAACCCTAAACCCTAAACCCTAGACCCTAAACCCTAAACCCTAAACCCTAGAAAACCCTACTAAACCCTCATTCCTGGCCGGCGAACAAAAGGGGTCTCTGGAAGGCAGAGTGGAGACAACTGACTGGGTTAAAAGCTCTAGGGTTTAGGGGTGCGAGGGTTTAGGGTTTAGGGTTTACGGGTTTTGTGAAGGCAGCCACGCGCTGCAGCAGCAGCCGCTGCAGATCTCCAGAGGGGGGTCGCCTGCTGATCTTCTTCAAACCCTTGCTGCTGCGGAACCCAGGAAACCCACTAGTAGGAATATGCCGCAGCAACCGCTGCTGCTGCTGCTGCTGCCGCTGCTGCTGCTGCTGCTGCTGTGGAGACAGCAGCATCTGTCCAGTCAGCGCGCTGCTGCTCCCATACAAACTCATAAAGCACTCCCTCGCGGGCCCTTCAGCGGGGGCCCCCCACAGGGGCCCCATGGGGGGCCCCCCTACAGGACCTCCAGGGGGCCCTCCTAGGGGCCCCCCTAGGGGCCCCCTCGGGGGCCCTCTCAGGGATCCCCCTTGGGGTCCCCCTTGGGGCCCTCCTAGGGGCCCCCCTTGGGGTCCCCCTTGGGGCCCCCCTTGGGGCCCCCTCAGGGGCCCCCCGAGAGGCCCCCCCAGGGGCCCCCCCAAAGACCCTCCAAGGGGCCCCCCTAGGGGCCCCGCAAGGGGGGCCCCCTTGAAGGTGTATCTAGCAGCCCGGGTAGCAGCAGCTGAAGCAGAGGCGAGTGGGGCAGAAGAAGGATTGAGGAGAGGCGCAGCAGCAAGCATGTTCTGTACGTACAGCAAAAAACTCAAGGGAGAAGCAGCAAGAACAGCAGCCGCTTGGCTGCTGCTGCTGCTGCTGCTGCTGTTGTTGCTGTTGTTGCTGCTGCTGCTGATGCTTCTCGTGGTGCAGCTGCTGCAGACGACGCACCAGCACCTGCTGCTGCTGCTGCAGAGACACCTGGCGTTGTCGCTCTTCTGTTTGTGCTTGATAAGAAGACAGGCGTCTGCCCTTAGAATAATAAGAGGGCCCGTACAGCGAGCTCCGCTGCTGCTGGTGCATGCTGCTGCTGCTGCTGCTGCTGCTGCTTTTGCTGCTGCTGCTGGTAGTGGTGGTGGTACTGCTGTAGAATGAATGCGCTGAGCTATCGCTCCTGCTGCATCTGAACTGTTGTCGTTGTTGCTGTTGCTGCTGTTGCTGTTGCTGCTGCTATTGCTGTTGCTGCTGCTGCTGGTGGTGTGCCTGCACTGCAGCGCTGCTTGCCGACGCAATAGCAGCAGCAGCAGCAGCAACAACAACAACGACAACAACAGCAGCAGCAGGGGCTTTGGCTTGCTGCTGTATTTGTCTTTGTTTGTATTTCTTCTTCTTTACTTCTTTTGCTACGTTTGTGTGTGTGTTGCTGTCGTAGGAGAGTAGGCTCAGCCCTAAGAGTTAAATAATAACTTAACAAAGTGCAGCGATAATAATTTAATAAACTAATTACAACAGAAACAAACGAAGAAAGATAAACTCGTGAACACCATTGAGAAGGCCCCTCCTACTCTTCTGCTTCTCTTATACTACTCTAGACCCCTGCTGCTGCTGCTGCTGCTGCTGTTGCTGCTGCTGCTGCTGCTGTTGCTGCTGTTGTTGTTGCTGTTACTGCTATTTTTCTTAATAACAATATTAAAATACAATAAAAACTTAAATTTTATTTATGAAACACCGAAGAAGCTGCTGTAGGCGTCATGCTGCAGCTGCCTTCAGTTATAGAGGGGGGAGGGGGTTCATAGACAACAAATTTTTTAACATTGTTATTATTATTTAGTTTAATTAATTATTATTATTTAGTTTAATTAATTATTATTATTTAATTTAGTTATTTATTATTTTATTTTATTTGTTTGCCTCTTTTGTTTGCTCTTTTCGCGCTGCTACAGCAGCACAAAGACACTTCACAGCATATTTCGTTCTATTGTTTATCTATAAATATAATATATAACATCAATAATAAATAAATAAATAAATATAAATATACATATAAATATATATAAACATAAATATATATATTTATATATTTATTTATTTATTTATTTGTTTAAATAGGATTATATACAGAAGGTTAATAATAAGCTGCGTAGACAGATTGTATTACAAATGGAGTGTATATATAACTGTCTTATTATAAATAATTATCTGTATATACAAATGCTTTTTAATTAATTAAATATATAAAACTAATTTATAATTATATGCATATAGACAGCGTTTATTCAGTCGTGCTTGTAAAGGGTTGCTGCGGTGTATGTTCAGCAGCTTAATAATTTATATATATATATATATATATATGTACAGATGTTTTATAATTAGTTAAATATATACACAGAGTTATTTGCGGTGTATCTGCAGCCTCCCTCTATCAGCAGCAAATCTCTACAGTTTTGCTGCTGGGGTCCCCTTCTGCTTCTTAAAGATTTGTTTGCTGCATGCACAGCAGCAGAAACAGTTGCTGCATTACGCAGCAGTGCTGCTACTTGAGGTGTACAGGCACGCAGCATCAACCGGAACTGCTGCAGCAGCAGCAGCTCCCGAAGCAGCAGCAGCAGCAGCAGCAGCAGCAGCAAATGAGAGTCCCTATTCTTTATTCACTTTTGTGTTGTATTTCTTGCTGCTCTGTCCGTCTTTAACTCCAGTGCAATTAGAGATAACAGGCTGCTGCTGCTAATGCTGCTGCTGCTGCTGCTAATGCTGCTGCTGATGCTGCTAATGCTGCTGCTGCTAATGCGGCTGCTGCTGCTGCTGGGAGGCGCAGCAGCAAATGCTGCAAGCGAGAGATTACAACCAAAATAAATAAATAAATAATTAAATAAATAAATATATGTCTCCACGCCTACGAAGACGAAGCACCCACAGAAGGAAGAGCGCTGCTGCTCATGCCGCGACGTCGCTGCTGCTGCTGTTGCTGCTGCTGCTGTTGCTGCTTTAGCCGAGGAAGAGCTGATGTACTTCTAGAGAGTTTTGCTGCTGCTGCTACTGCTGCTGCCCTTCGCGGTTGCGGCGTAGGTCGTGAGAGGCCGAGGCGAGGCAACCTGCTGCTGCTGCTGGTTTTGCTGCTGCTGCTGGTTTTGCTGCTGCTGCTCGCTTTACTGCCGACGTTGGGTTTGCTGGTGCTGGTGCTGCTGCTGCTGGGTTTGATGCTGCTGCTGCTGGGTTTGTTGCTGACGCTCTGTTTGCTGCTGCTGCTGCTGCTGCTGCTGCTCTTGCCTTCCATATTCTTGCATGCGGGCGCAGCAGCAGGCGTAGAGTTTGGTTGTGCAGCAGCAGCAGAAGGAAGTGCTGTTGCTGCTGCTGTTGCTGCTGCTGCTGCAGGGGTTTGTTTCTTTTGTGCTGCTGCTGTTTGGCTTTGCTGCTGCAGCCGCTGCAGGCGCTGATCAACCTGAGACAGGAAAGCTTTTGCTGCTACAGCAGATGCAGACGCAGGAAACAAGCTGCTTTTTGCTGCTGCTGCTGCTGCTGCTGCTGCTGCAGTTGCTGCTCTACGCTCTTGACGCGTCTCCATTCCGTGCTTCAGCAGCACAGGGGAATCAGGCGCTGCTGCCTCTGCTGCTGCTGCTGCTGTTGCTGCTGCTGCTGCTGCTGCTGGTGTTACAGTGGCAGTCTCTGTCGCCGCAGCAGAAGCTCTGCGAGAGCTGCTGTTGCTGCTGCTGCTGCTGCTTGCATGAGCGTCATTGAACACATCCTTAACTTCCTGCTGCAGCCGCTGCCACATCTTCGGCTGCTGCGTCTGCGTCTGCGTCTGCTGCTGTTGCTGCTGCTGCTGCTGCAGCGGTAGCAGCGAATTGCTAGAGGGGAAGAGAGCTCTATAAGGCGAGAGGGTGCGGCTGCTGCACAAGCTGCTGCGTCTGCTGCTGCTGAGACCTGCTGCTGCTGCTGCCTCAGCCCCTCTGCATGCTTCTGTTATCATCTGGGCGCTGCTGCTGCCCAACAACTCCAGCAAACTCGTGCTGCTGCTGCTGCTGCTGTTGCTGCTGCTGTTGCTGCTGCTGCTGCTGGTGTCCTGTGCTGTTGCTGCGTCTTCAGTGGGAGACCCTTCCTGCTCAAACAAGGGAAGGGGCTCGTCGCTGTCTTGCTGCTGCTGCTGCTGCTGCTGCTGTGGCTGTTGCTGTTGCTCCTGCTGCTGCTCCTGCTGCTGCTGCAGTATGCGAGGCAGCTCTTCGTCTGAGACTATAACAGCAACTTCATCACCGCTGCCCTCTGCTGCTGCCGTTGCGGTTTTTGCTGCTGCTGCTTCTGGTGCCGCTACTTCTGCTGCTTCTGCTGCTGCTGCTTCTGCAGCTTCTGGTGCTGCTGCTTCTGCGGCTTCTGGTGCTGCTGCTTCTGCTGCTACTGCTTCTGCTGCTGCTGCTTCCGCTTCTTCTGCTGCACCGTCCACACGCTTTGAAGAGAGGCGTTGCCGCTTGCCTGCACTGCCGCTGCTGCTGCTGCTGCTGCTGCTGCTGCTGCGGCTGTCGCTGCTGGTGTTGCTGCTACCGCTGCCGCTGCTGCTGTCCGTGCTGTCGCTGCTGCTGCGCTTCCTGCTGCGCTTCCCACGCTGCTGCTGTGCCTCTTGCTGCTGCTGCTGTTGCTGCTGCAGCGTCTGTTTAGGCTCCTGCTGCTGCTGGGTTTGTTTCTGCTTCTGCTGTTGCTTGTGTTGCTTGTGCTTCTGTTGCTGCTGGTGCTTCTGCGGCTGCAGGGTCTGAACTTGCTGTTGCTCTGGTTGCTGCTGCTGCTGTTGCTGCTGCTGCTGCGTGTGCGGCAGCAGTTGGGTTGGCGGGGCAGAAGCATCAACGGTAGACCTGCGGCTTCTAGCGAGGCCGACACTGTCTGCTGCTGCTGCTGCTGCTGCATCTGCTGCTGCTGCTGCTGCAACTGAAGCCGAAGGGGCTGGTGCCGTCGATGCTGCATCTTCTGTCTCGAGCTCATGTGCTGCTGCTGCTGAAGGTGCTGCTGCTGCTCTGTTCTGGGCAGGCGGAGTCGCAGCAGCAGCTGCTGGTAGTGCGGGTGTAGCGTTTGCTGCATCTGCATCTGCCCCTGCTGCTGCTGGAGCTGTTGCTGCTGCTGCCGCTGCTGCTGCTGCTGCTGGTTCTGCTGCATCTGTATCAGAGTCGCTGCAGCAGCTGGCGGCTTTCAGCAGCTCTTCTAAATCAAACATTTCTGTTAGCTGCTGCACTGGTGGGCTCACAGCTTCTTCGTGCTGCTGCTGCTGCCAGCGCGCCGCAGCAGCAGTGGAAGCAGCAGCAGCAGCAGCAGCGGCAGCAGCAGCATCATCAGGGTGGGGAGAGCAGCAGAAGGGTAGATAAGCAGCAAACCTCCAAGCAGGGATCTGCAGCAGCGAGGAGTAGCAGCACTCTATCCACTCAGACGTCACTGACACGCTTCTGCTCTTACTCGCCTTCCTGCTGCTGCTGCTGCTGCTGCTGCTGCTGCTGCTGCAGGGAGCAGCAAGCACCTTCCTCACCGCATCGAAGTAAAACCAAACAAAAAATCGGCCGCACACTTCGCGGATCAGCACCTGCTGCAGCGCAGCAACATCTACTCCATTCGCTGCCAGCTCAGCAGCAGCAGCGGCAGCAGCAGCAGCAGCAGCGGAGCCTGCTGCTGGTTCAGACGGTGAGTCTGCTGCTGCAAGTGCTGCACTGGATGGTGTTACACTCGGTTCGATCTGTCTCGGCCCGTTGTGCAGCTGCTGCTGCTGCAGCATTTGCGGCTGCTGCTGCTGCTGTACCTGCTGCTGCTGCTGCTGTACCTGCTGCTGCTGCTGCTGCAGCTGCTGCTGCTGCAGCAGCAGCTGCTGCTGCACCAGGGTATTGGCGTACTGCCAGCACTGATGTTTATATATTCTTTTTCTTACTGGCTTCCACATACGGTTCGGGTTGAGGGGTATAAATTTATCTTTCTTTAGCTGCTGCACGCAGCAGCTAAAGGTAGCAGCAACCAGATCCTGAGGCTGCAGCTGCATAGCAGCAAAGCTGCTGCTGCTGCACGGCAGCGGCTGCAGCAGGTGCTGCGGTGGAGGCGTGCAGCAGCATGAACAGGGCAAAGACAAAGACAAGAAAGACCACTGAGCCAGCTGCTTCTCTGTTGCTGCTGCTCCTGTTGCTGCTGCCCCTGCTGTTGCTGCTGCTGCTGTGCCGTCGCTACAGGCAAGTGGGTGGAGGCCAATGTCGTAGCATTGCTGCTGCTGCTGCTGCTGCGGCTGCTGCTGCAGCTGTTGCTGCTGTGTGTGCGGGGGCAAAAGGGCAGCTTTCAGAGCAATAAGCTGCCCCGCCCCGGAAAGAGGAACGGTAGGCATAGGAGAGGATGTGAGTGCTGTTGAGCTGCAGCAGCTGCTGCAGCAGTTGCTGCAGCAAGAGCTGCTGCGCGGGGAGATTGGTGGGTGTGTATGGGGTCTAGGGGGTCCTCCACATGCAGCGAGAAGCTGCTGCAGCAAACATTTTATTTCTGCGTTCAGAGGAAGCAGCAGAGCAGCAACAGCAGCAAAGGCAGAGCTCTGCAGCAAACTGAGAAGGAGTGGTGGTTATGAAGGGGGGAGGAGCGCGCAGCGCTTGCCTCGACGACGGATCTTTATAAAGCAGAAAAAATATAAATAATTTACTTTATTTCATATTTAAATTCAAATAAATTGAGCCCCTACACCTGCATATCTTGAGGTGTACATGCAGCTCGGCTGACTGTCTGCAGCAGCCCCAAGCGCAGAACGTGAAGAGGGTTGTTCGCATGCAGCGAGGAATAATAAATTGTTCTCTGAAAGAAATAATATAAATAATGTTTATTTTACTGTATTTATCGTTATTTTATAACAAAGAAAGCAATAGAAACCCTCGCTTAGGGGTTTAGCGGCCGGCTGTTTGTATGCACAACACGGCGGCACACACTCGCTGTACATACACCTGAAGAAGCAGCATATTTTTCGCTTGTTGAGCTGCTCTCTCTTATTTATTTCTTATTAATTTATTTATTTTACACTCATTTATTTGCATTAAAAGAAACTATCAAACAATAGAAGAAGATATCTGCACACTTACCCCCCGGTGCTTCCGCAGCGCGAACTCAAGAAAAGTGATGCTGCTACTGCTGCTGAAGCAGCAGCAGCTTCGTTTCTTGAAACAGAAACAGCAGCAGCAACAACAACAGCAACAACAACTGCTGCAGCAGCAGCTTCGATACCTGAACCAGCTGTAGCTGCAGCAGCAGCAACTGCTGTTGCAGCAGCAGCTTCGATACCTGAACCAGCATTTGCAGCAGCAACAACAGCAGCAGCAGCAGCAACTGTTACATCAGCAGCAACTGTTTCAGTAGCAGCTTCAACACCTGAACGAGCAGCAGCAGCAGCAGCAGCAACTGTTGCAGCAGCAGCAACTGTTGCATGAGCAGCATCGATACGTGAAGGAGAAGCCGCCGCCGCCGCCGCAGCAGCAGCAGCATCAGCAGCAACATCAGCAGCAGTTGTTGCATGATAATAAGCTGCTGGAGCAGGATTATTAGTTGCTGCTGCATGCGAACATGAATCCAATCGGGGTAATTGTACCGGGAAGTGCATGCGCCTTCCCTCAGCAGCTCGAAGGTGATTTGAAGTGGCTGCTGGATATTAAACCTGCAGCAGATATCGTTTGCTTCCTGACGCAGAACAATCAACTGCCTCCAGATATGGGCATTGGCATTTACTACGCACTGCCGCCTTTCGAGAACTGGGAGGTGAATCAATTGATTATATATATATATATATATATATATATATATATATATT